TGAGAGAGAAATGGAAGAAGAATAGAGGGAGAGAAATGATAGAGAGATGGTAGAGGAGTAGGATGGGCTGTGAAGAGGAGATGAGAGGAGAAGGGAAGGAAAGAGGAGAAAAATAAATAAATTTTAATTTTAAAATTTAAAGTTTAATTAAACAGCTAAAAATGGATTGTATGTTTTAGCCTCCAGTCCCCTAATCATCTTGGCTGCTCTTCTCTGCACTTTTTCTTGAGTTTCAACATCTTTTTAAAAATGTGGTGGCCAAAATCGGATGCAGTATTCTAGGTGTGATCTTACTAAGGCTTTATAGAATGGTATTGGTACCTTCCTTGATCTTGATTGTATCCCTGTGTTAATGCAATTTAGGGTTCCATTGGCTTTTTTTGGCTGCCACCGCACAGTGCTGGTTCATATTTAGCTGGTTGTCCACTAAGACTCCAAGATCCCACTCACAGCTACTGCTATTGAGCTTGGTTTCACCCAGTCTATATGTATACTTTTGGTTTTTCTTGCCTAAGTGTAGGATTTTACTTTTCTCTATGTTGAATTTCATTTTGTTAGATAGGGTCCAGTGTTCAAGTCTGTCAAGATCCATCTGGATCTTGAGCAGTGGTGGGTTTCAAAAAAAATTCCAACAGGTTTGGTGTGAACACATGCTTTGTGTACACACCCATGCTTTGTGCATGTGCAGTGTTTGCAACTCACCTTCTGCTGCAAGTCCTGTGTGTAAAACAGATGATGCATGGCAATTGGCTATGCTACACGAAGCAGCTGAGGTTGAAAAGCAGGAAATAAAGGTCAATATAGTGCCAGAGCAGGTGGGAGGATCCAGCAGCTGATCATTGGAGCGAAACGGTTCACTCACAAATGATCCTCGAAGGGGTGAGCCAGTAGAATACCACCACTGACCTTGAGCCTATCTTCTAGGGCTGTGATGGTGAACCTATGGCACATGTGCCACAGGTGGCATGCAGAGCCATTTGTGCTGGTATGCGAGCTGCAGGTAAACTGACCTCACTGCACATGTGCGTACCTCACAGCTGATTTTCGGCTGATTTGAGGCCTTTTTCAGCCTCCCAAAAGCTTGAGGAAGGCTTCTGCAGGCTTCTACAAGCTTTGTAGGCCGAAATCTAGCTCCATTTCATCACTTCCGGTTTTTTTTCAGAAAAACAGGAAGTGACAAAACAAGGATAGATTTTGGCCTGTAAAGCTTGTAGAATCCTGCAGAAGCCTGCAAAAGCCTTCCTCAAGCCTTTGGGAGACTGAAAAAGGCCTCAAACCGACCGAAAATCAACTGTGAGGTTCAGTGCAGGTAGGGGAGTGGCGGGAGTGGGAGGATGGGTGGGGAATTGTGCACACATGCATAGGGGACATGGGGGGGGGCACACATGGCCTTCTGGGTGCTGGCATATGGGTGCAAGAATGCAAGCGCACACACAATTTTTGGCACAGGAGCCCAAAAAGGTTACCCACCACTGTTCTAGGGTGTTAGCTATTCCTGCCAGCTCAGTATCAACTGCAAATTTGATAAACTCCCCTTGTACTCCATCATCTAAAACAATGAAGAGGTTCTAAAAGGTGCTCGAGGGAAGAGCCCTTTTCAGCCTGTTTCAAGAGTGAGAGGAGGAAGTTTCCTTCTAAATGTGAAGCACAGGAACTCTGTGGTAAAAGCTTCTCTGCATGCACAAATTCATGCATAGCATCTATGGTGCTACATGTAGACCTCCAAAGGCTGCAAGGAAAAAGAAAGCCTCACATGTCATGCTTCTCTTTGAGTGGACTGCTTCACCATCACCTTGATTACTACATGTGCTAGAAAAATCTCTATTGTAAATATGTTCAGCCTGGTCTTTGTCTCCCCCTACTGGTTATTTCTAAAACTATTCATGCAATGGGTGCTCCCTTTAGGAAAATAATATTAATTATCAGAATAACAGAATAATAGTTTTGGAAGGGACCTTGTAGGTCATCTAGTCCAGAGGTGGTATTCAGCAGGTTCTGACCAGTTCTGGAGAACTGGTAGTAGAAATTTTGAGTAGTTTGGGGAACCGGCAAATGCCACCTCTGACTGGTCCTGCCGCTATCTATTCTCTGCCTCCTGAGTCGCAGCTGATTGGCTGGGTCTTCTTTTGTTGCCCTGCACAGGAGAATGGAGCTGGAAAGCAGGTTAGTGGGATGGGGAGGGAATGGAGATTTTGCAGGATCCTTCCCCTGCCACACCCACCAAGCCACACCCACCAAGTCATGCCACACCCACAGAATCAGTTTCCATCATTATTCCTTGTCTGGCTTTTGGGTGCTTTGGAAAATAGCTTGACCCGTTCCTCTCTGTGGCAACCCCTCAAATATTGGAACACTGCTATCATGATCACTGCTATCCCCTGATCCTTCTCTTCACTAGACTAGCCATGCCCATTTCCTGCAACCATTCCTCATATGTTTTAGTCTCCAGTTCCCTAATCATCTTTGTGGCTCTAATCACATCTCTTCCATTTTCCTTTTTCCTTCTCCTTTAAAGTTTATCTAATAGTAAATGGGAAACAGCTTGGGAGATGGGGCATGGTCAAGAAAACAATCAGATAAAATTTAGCAGAAATGTGGGTGGGACCAAGAGGCTCAAAAGAGACCCTCCCTAGTTTCTTGACTTGTAAAAGGAAAGGGGGGAGGGAACAGATGTAATTTCAGGTTTTCGAGGTGGATTTCAACCTTGTGAGCAGGGGTGGGATTCTCCTAGTTCAGACCAGTTCGGGAGAACCCCCTGTTCTGATGGTCATCTCATTCTGAACCAGTTTACTCTGATGAGCATGTGGGCCCGCCTGCCTGCACCTGCTCTTTCCATGTCTTTTTGTTAGAGAACAGCTGATTTGCAGGGTAGAGCAGAGCAGTTTGCCACACCTCAGCTGTTTCTTCAGCAGCAGTTGAAGGTAAATATTAGCTTTTTTAAACACGGAGCATGTGCCTGCATGCACAAAGCCATGCACTCACCAAACCGGTCGTTATACCGGTTGAATTGCACCCCTCCTTGTGAGGTAGACCAGACAAAAAACACTACTAGATAAGTTAAGTCTGTTTTATTGTAAGGATGCATTAAGAAACATTTTGCAATGAACTAGTTCCAAAACTTCCATATAAAACATTTAATCCCCCTCACCCACCCACCCCCCAATTACATAGTCATCTGATCAATCAATCAAAGGCTCAACAGAGACTACTGATCTATATTATTCTGTCCATATTCATTCATTCATTCTTTTCTTTTCTGTCGTCCTCTTTCAAATATGTTGATGTTCCTCATATTTTTTGAGTTGCCCTCTTGCAGCCCAAGGCATCTTTCAATGCATCTTTGACCTGCTTGTTCCTCAAAGTGTAGACAAATGGGGTCATGAGGGGACAAACCACATTGTTGAGAATGGCCACTGCATTGTTGAAATTTTTCCCTTCACTTTTCTTTGGTATGAGGTACATAGAGATGCAGCTCCCATACGTGACAGAAACCACAATGATGTGGGAGGCACAGGTGGAGAAGGCCTTTTTCCTTCCTGCAGCTGTTGGGATGCGAAGAATGGCAGAAATGATTATTGTATAGGATATTGTGGTGATGGCTAAAGTCCCTAGAAGTGAAAAAATAGAAACAATGAAGCCAACGAGCTCCAGGAGACGTGTATCCCCACAGAGAAGTTTCATCAGTGGCTTATTGTCACAAAAAAAGTGATCAATGATGTTTGAGCCACAAATGGGGAATTGTGCGAAAGATATGGTTTGGCCAAAAATCAAGATGAATCCTGCAATCCAAGAAATCAGCACCATCCAAGTGCAAACACATTGGTTCATGATGGTGGCGTATCTTAAAGGATTGCAAATGGCCACGTAGCGGTCAAAGGACATAACCGTCAGCAGGAAAAAATCTGTAGTGCCCAAAAAGAAATAAAAAAACAGTTGGCTTATACACCCTGTGTAAGAGATGGTTTTCTTCCCCAATGCCAAATTGATCAAAGCTTTGGGAATGACCGCTGAAGTATATCCAATTTCCAAGATGGCATAATTCCTGAGGAAATAATACATTGGGGTCCTAAGGTGAAAATCCACAAGGGTGATAATAACAATTAGAATGTTTCCAGCTATGGCCATTAGGTACATGACCAAGATAAGGGCAAATAGAAGCATCTCAGGCTGGTGACTTTCAGTAAACCCCAGCAGTAAGATCTCCTCAGTCTTGGTTTGGTTCTCCATGTTATCTTAGTTGTGAGCAATCTGCGGACATAAACCCTTTGGTGAATTAAGTGAGCTTTCATTGTTTAAGAATCTGAAACTAGGCAAATATTCAGAATCGCTGGTACAACCAGTGATTCAGGATATTTTTTGGAAAGCTGAGGTGGGAAGAAAATCAATTTAGAAATAGGTTTATTCATGCATTCCCCGTGAACTCCTCAAACAACATAATCTGTCAATAACTAAAAGGACAGAGATAAAGACAATAGAGCAAAGATTGCTTGCTTAACCATCAATCAGTGCATTGTCATGCTGAAATTGCATTCATTTCAAAATCCCAAAGGTGCTTTTTCAAGAGGCAACTGGATTTTCTGGACCAGAAAGTCTAGTTGTCTCTTGAAAAAGCACTTTTGGAACAACCATGACTTGGATGACTAAGAATCTCCATAGGCATTCATTTCAAAGAATAGGTAACCAGATAAATCCTTTAGGATATACGGCTTAGACGTAGATATTGACTCTTGTTTTTTAATTCAGATGACCATGCAATAACTTTATTGTCATTTCATTGCCTACAGCTCTCAAATGCTCACCACCTTCAATGTATACTAGATTTTAGGCTTTTAGGAACACACACAAAGAGGACACTCCAAAGCTGACAAGCAAAGTATACACTGAAGGAATAAACAGTTCAAAACACAAAGAGCTATTTTCCCTATAAATATCCCAACTTCAAGACTTCAAACTGTAGCCTACCTTTCAGTGCTGTCTTTTATGTTCTCGAATAAGCTTTGTCCTTTTCAAGCAACATGTCCAGTGTCATCCTTATGCAAATCCATCTTGGATTGGCCCAGAATTATTCTTGTAACACTGACCCGAGGAGGAAGAAGTTATAATCTTGGGTTTATTCTGTCTTCATTTATTGTCATAAATCATACATTGCAATGTCCGACCTGTCAATGAATTCTTCAGCTTCAACCACAACAACACAAGAGAAAACAATAGATAGAAACTCAAGGTTAATCGCACCAAACTTGATTGCAGGAAATACGACTTCAGCAACAGAGTGGTCAATGTCTGGAATACTCTACCTGATTCTGTGGTTTCTTCCCCAAACCCCAAAAACTTTAACCTTAGACTTTCTACTATTGACCTCACCCCTTTCCTAAGAGGTCTGTGCATAAGCGCACCAATGTGCCTACCATCCCTGTCCTATTGTTTCTTTTATTTTTCTTATATGTATCCATGTATTCATAACTAAGTTTTTACTTATACCTATTATCTTGTAAGCAATTGACAAACCAAATAAATAAAATAAATAAAATACTAGTTCATGAGTGTAGATATTGACTCTTACTATCAATTGATCGTCTTCTACCAAACTACTAGTTCATGAGTGTAGATATCGACTCTTGCTTTTAATTGATTGTCTTCTACCCAACTACTGTTTCATGAGTGTAGATATTGACTCTTGTTTTTTAATTCAGATGACCATGCAATACCTCTTCAACCTAACATATCTCATCACAGAAAATGATGAATATTAATTCATTTCTGTGTTTTTTTCTCATTTTTAGATGCTGTTTGGTATCAGAAGGGTTGGGAATGGGGGTGCAGAAATCTTTCTCAGTTTGACCTTTGTATACACTCTCCTCATATACTCATATGTGCCCTTTCTCTAAATTAAGTCCTCCAATATTTTCTCCTGTCCTTTCACACACATAAATGTGACTTTTTTTTTTAAAAAAAGAGTAAAATATAGCAATACTTAAACAATTCTTTCAACAAATTATTTTACATTCTTCTATGGAAGAATGACAGATCAGATCTCCAGCTCAGATCTATATCTGAAATATTGGATTATGATGCTGGTAAAACAAAAGGTAGAGAAAAACAGAATTTCATTGGATGTTGGCTGTACTATACTATAAAAATACAATCCATAACATCCTTTCATTCCCCTTCCTATGATGCATACTCCATAACACCCTTTCATTTCCCTTCCTATGATGCAATTTTCAAGTAAGGGTTTTGGGTCTATTTGTTAGCATTTGCTCAATTATTGGAAGGCGAGCAAGGCTTCCTATTACACTTAACTAACTGTAGCATTTTTTTTCAGATTGCTATAGAATTTTAAGCATTCCTTGTAAACTATGAAACACAATTTTACAAAATCCAGAAAAGACATGCAATTACTGAAATGTAATTTTGTCAGGTGTGAAAGACACATCTTCATGTGAAAGTCCTTGTACACTGATTTACTATTAAAAACCTATGCACAGGAATCTTCTCAACTAATAGAACCTGCTTAGAGTTAGATGAGGGTCAACGACACTCAAGAAGGATTGGATTTAGCTCACTTGTGACTATGTAGGGATTCTAGGATGATCCCTCTTTTAACTTCATTCACAGGTTCTGCTACTCCTTCTCCTACATATTTTCCATTAGGTTAAATTCAATAAATCCACCTAGAAAATGTGAAGCAGAGGAATTTCTCTCTCAGCTTCCAAAACCTTCGAAAGGAGATTGGAATATTACAACCATTGAAAGGATATGGATACATTTCAAATATTTCAAAGAAGACTCAAAGAAGACTCTAGCCCTCTGCTCTGAGTTACTTATAAAGTAATAAAGATAGATTTTAAAAATCAAATAAATAAATAATAGTAGATTACACATTTGTTTTTTAAAAAAAGTTTGTTCAATTTATTGACTCCCTAAAAGCAAACAAATCTTTACCCTTCTAAGAATTAATGATCTTGGTATGGAATGAATAAGTTAGGCACCTCAGAATCCATGTGTCCATGTATTTTTCTTGACCAAACCTCAGTTGAAAGCTCTTTTGCTATTAAATGCCCAGATTGTGCTGTGATTCAAAGACTAAATGAGATATGAAGGTAGCAACTTTTTCTGAATTCTTCAAAGAAATGCTTCTTTTGTCTAGGAACTGCAGAAGATGAGAAAAGGAGAAGATGAGAAAAGGAGAAGATGAGAAAAGATCATTTGCTATAAGCAGCTGAGAGATACCACACTGAAGTCCCTAATGGATATTGTTTGAAGTTCTTAGCTATAGAAAAATTTAGGTCCTTCAAATTACTCTCCACCTCTACAATGAATTAAAGGATGTAGAATCTAGCTAGAATCTTTTGAGAACATCCTCTCATAGATATTCAGTAAATCCACATATCTCTTCTTGAGTGTATATCCTTCCTCTTCATTTAACAATTTCAAGATTGGGGAATAGCTCTTCCTGATATTAAACAATATAGACTTATTTCTACTAAAATGCCTTTCACCTAAACCAAAATATATTTTGATGGACCAAGATATGTTCTACTAATGATCTTTGGATCATCTTGTCCTTCTATAGCTTACCTTAGAAGTCACTGATTTTGGTGTGATACATGTGCATGTTATTCCAAAGCAAATACTTTCAGAGATATAGTTGTAAATATGCTTATTTAGATTATCCTTTGGGATAACTTCTATCTATCAGGGGTGATGTGGTAGCCAAACAGTTAAGATGCTGGGCTTTTGGGCTGGAAAGCTGGACAGCCCAGTTTCAAGATCCAAGCACCATATGATGGGCACCATATGATGGGATGAGCTCCCATCCTCACCTCAGCTTCGGCCAACCAAGTAATTCAAAAACATGCAAATGTGAATAGATAAATGGGGACCACTTAGATGGGAAGGTAACATTGCTTTGTGATGTCATGCTGGCCACATGACCACAGAAATGTCTTTCAATAACACTAGCTCAATGGCCTTGACATGAAGATGAGCACTGGGCCCTATAGTTGCAATCACTAGCAGAATAAAATCCCCAGGGACCCTTTATTTACCAAACAATGTATGCTATTGGATGATATTAGCTACTCATTAGAGGTTGTCTGAATCCCCATACAATGTTACCAAGCATTGTTCATTCAGCCACATTCTCTTTATTTCCATAATATTTTATATCCAAACGATGACACAAAGCCAAGATGTAGTAGGGTATAATAAAGCAGTGGTCCCCAACTGTGGGCCCTGCCTGCTAATGGGCCATGAGGGGATTGCAACCAGGCCACAGAAATGCGCACATAAATACTTGTGTGAACAGTGGGCGAGCATGAGTGCAGCTGTGCATGAGTCCATTTGCATGTGTGGCAGGTGCATGCGCATGCCGCTCACACAAATGAAGCTCTCTCTCTCTCTCTCTCTCTCTCTCTCTCTGTGTGTGTGTGTGTGTGTATGTGTGTGTGTGCATGAGCTTGCTGACCCCTCACATGGAAATAGTGCCTTTCCCCACTCACTGGTCCAGTTAAGTCAGAAACATTGGGGAACTCTGTAATTGAGGACTGGATTCATGTCAGATAATACTAACTTCAAAAATCCACTATATATAAAGGGACATGTTCTATCCATAAAATGGTTCCATGCAAACCAGTCTAGGTGGATGGAAAGACTTATGAACAATGACTAGATTCCTATCTACTTAATGAGGTTAGCGGATGTCCCACCAGTGTATTCACAGTTATTTAAACTGATTTAAATTTACAATCATTTGTTTCAGCGGTGGGATCCTACCTGTTCCACTATTTGTTTGGTGATCTCGCATGTGTGTGTATGCACCTAATGCATGTGCACAGCTTTCCACACACCAGCTGAAGCCTGCAGCATCAATCAGCTGAGAAGATGAAGAGAAAAGTGCAGGGGCAGGTGGGAGTGCCGATCCTGGGCTTTTCTCTTCTTTCTTCTCTCAGCTGATTATACTATCAGTTCGGTTGAACCAGGCCAAACTAGTAGCATACCACCACTGATTTGTTTAGTGATCTTTAGTGCAATCGCACTAAAAAAAGTGTCTTACAACTGCTCTTAGACTTATAGCCATGGTGGTGCAGTGGTTAGAGTGCCATATTGCAGGCTACTTCTGCTGACTGCCAGAATTTGGCAGATCGAATCCCACCAGCTCAAGATTTATTGAGCCTTCCATCCTTTCCATGGTGGGTAAAATGAGGACCCAGATAGTTGGGGGC